ACTAAAATAATAGAACAGTACAAAGACAACTATGCCCTTATAGGGCGGCAAAACATAAAACAGCATATATAACACTCAAAAAACATAATAAAATTTGGACWSACAWAACTAYTRTRDTCCCCACCTCCTATCTAACAACTAACATAAAACATCTACTCAGAAAAACATCATAAAACTAATTAATCTTCAACAAATAGGTTTCTAATAGATAGTTTGTTAGTGGACTTCTAATAGCTAGTTTGTTAGTGGGTTTCTAACAACTAGTTTTTCTTCTCTATATAAAGCCAAGCAATCACAAGCATGAGGCTTACCTATACTTTGAGAAGCCTAGAACTATCTTTTGAGAGTTAAGAGAGTCCTCTCTTGGGTGAGTGAGTTCCCAACCCCTTTGGGTGAGTGAATCTCCAAACTTGTTGCCTCCTTGTAATCCACATGTTAGTAACAAAGTTCCATCCGACTACTCTCTTCTATTTTATTTTTTTTGAGCAAATTTCTTCCATTTTCTCTCTTCTTATCTAATCTACATCATTCAATTGCATACTTAATAGTGAAAAAATGATGTATAACAACCCTAGCTAGTAATGATGTCTACTCTTGGGATTTCTAAATAGTGTTATTGGCTGTGCCAAAAGCAACCTTGTAGTTGGAAATCTTCAACCATTGTTGGCTTGGTAATACCATAAATAATGTATTTTAACTCTGAGATGGGGTTGGGGAGAGGGATGCAAATACTATGAGAGAGTATGCAAAAACAAAAGAACACATGCTTATTAAACTCTTGCGACTATTAGGCTCTGGTGCTTTAAAAGATGGCCCAACTAGTAGAATACCCTGGACTATTAGGTATGTGCATCACCATCTATCTGGTTAATCATCCTAAGTGATACTGAGAAAACAAGCCATGTTTCTCTTTGATTGTTCAAGACTTTCAGAAACCCAGAATTACTCCAGAGTCCCAAGTCAGACATTTTATAATTCTTTTAAGATCTATCTGGTTAATCATCCTAACTGATACTGAGAAAACATGCCATGTTTCTCTCTGATTGTTCAAGACTTTCAGAAACCCAGAATTACTCCAGAGTCCCAAGTCAGACCTTTTATAATTCTTTTAAGATTTCTTGTTGTCCTCCCTTGATAAACTGTGCATAATCATATTGTGAAGAAAGTGAAGTTACTCTTGGAAATTACCTCTGATAATTTATCAAAAGTTTTCACCAAATGGGATAAAATAGTTTCTTTTAGCCTCCCATCATCCGCTTCTATTGCTGAGAGAGATTTCAATGCAGCTACTTCATCTTCCTGTGATCCATACATTATTGTCTGATTAGCAGATATGCCATCAGCCACCAAACTTGTATCTTCGACCAGATGAAGATAAGGATCAACCTGTTTTAGTTGTAATCATTGATTATTCTCAACCATAAATTGGTCACAAAGAAACTAAAGGATTAAAATTTAAATAAACTAAATTCCCCACTAAAGAAAAGGCCTATTAAGGGTAATTTGATTTTTATTTATAATGCACAAATAAAAAGCTAGTTTGGTGATTTATTTTATCAAGGGAAAGGTACAGATATCAACCGTATCATCCGTCAATGTCGCTTTAACTAGAGGAACCAGTTGTGGAAGATTCCCTGCCTTTGCTGAAAATATAAGCATGGAAGATGCCAAGGTAAAGAGTGACCTTCTGCGAGATGGCTGTAAACCTCCTTCAATTTGGAACAAAGAAATGTATATCAGAAAGGATATTTCATCAAAGACATGCATCACCCCAGGAGGGGGTATATATATATGGCCTTTATTTTCTATATGCAAATTAAATAGAACATTTGAAAATGATTATTTGAATGACATTATCCAGACCAAGTGGCTACTAACCTATGATAGGTTAACATGGCTATTAACCTATGCCATATTTCAGTTTTCTCTTCATGATGTATGATTCTGTGTACATATAATGTCTATAGGTTTTAATGAAATTTGTTATTTATCAAATAAAAAAAACATTTCCTAATATTTATCTTTTCATTTCCATTGTTACCTACATGAAACACTCCTGGAATACATCTCAACATATTCACCAATACTTTTTAAAATATTAAATTGTTTTCAACAAATTTTATTTTGTTAAATGTTAATCCTATCAATGTAAGCTTTCAATTTATATGTACATAAATATCATTCAAATAATTTATTTTAACATGATTAATTTTCTTTAAAACCATTGTTTTAAAGTTTACAATTATGGATGACTTTTTTTCCTTCAAAGTATATACATAATTTAATCATCATCATTCTATACCTTATCCCAACTATATGGGGTTGGCTACATGAATCATGTTTCGTCAATCCGTTCTATTTAAAACCATATCCACTGTTAAACTATTAGTGCTTAAATCATTTCTTACTACTTCTACCTATGTCCTTTTTGGTCTACCCCTAGCTCTTCTAGCCCCTTCCACTTGACAAATCACTTCTTCTAACTAGATCTATTGGTGGTCTTCTATGCATGTGACCAAACCATCTTAGCCTACTCTCTCTCTCTCTCTCTCTCTCATTTTATCACTTATTAGAGTTATTCCTAGGTTTCTACCGATGGCTTCCTTCCTGATCCTATCCTTTCTAGTTTCTCCACTCATTTTCTGAACATGTTTCTTGACTGCCCAACACTTCTTCATACAAAATAGATGACCTTACAACTGTTTTATAGAATTTTCCTTTTAGTCTAAGCATGTATTCTCCTATCACACAAAAGTCCATATGCACCCCTCCATTTTACTCAACCTGCTCTAATTCTTTGGGTGACATCCTCAATCTCTCCCTTATTATGAATTATTGAACCAAGGTACCGGAAATTGTCACATCCTCCTCATTCCAATCCTAAGTGTATCCTGATTTACACTGCTATTATTACTAAATTTACATGCCATATACTCTGTTTCAGTCCTACTTATTTTAACTCCTCTTGTTTTTAGGGCATTTGTTCATAAGCTTAATGTTGCATTTAATCCTTCATTAGTTTCATCAATTAAACAATGTCATCGACAAACAACATGCACCATGGAACTTCTTCTGAATATGTTTTGTCAATTCATCTTTGATTAGTGCAAAAAGAAAAGGGCTAAGTGCTGAGCCTTGGTGAAGAGCCATAATTTTATAAAATATAATAAATGTTTAATATATTAAATTTAGAAGATAAATGATGTACCAGGATAAGAGGCATATTCATGTTTTAAGAGAGTCAATTGTTTCCAATGGTTCATTGGTGGTTGGTAGGAAAGAAGAAAAATCCTTCAATAGGGATCACAATCACCACCCAAATGGTTCTAAAATTTTTTCAAGAATTCAACAAACACAAGGTGTCCCATTGGTGGTTTCCAACTATCCTTCAAGGTAGAGCAAAGATGCTATTCAGTACCAACCATTGTCTGAAGCTATTCAGGGGAGAAAGATGAGGGTAGTTTTAAGGCAAGAGATGAGGAGGTTGGTTGTAGGGAGAAAGGAGAGAGAATCTGGAATTTGGTGTGCAAATCTTTTGAGGAACTTATAAATAAGGACTTGTTGAAGCTAAAGTTGGGGGACTGGAGAACTACGATGACTTTCAGTTGGGGAAGAGGAGAGAGGGGGGACACAGTTGGGGAGATTAGGGAAAGGGGGGGGAGGGGACCTCTGGTTCAAATTATAGGGGTGATGGTTTGAAGTTGAAAGAAACATGGAATGTTAAAGTTTATTCTAAGAAGGGGGAAAAGGGAAATTCAAAGGAAGAAAAAGATAATGGAGGTTAAGAGATTGAAATCTGATGTGGCAGGTGACCTACAGTTTAGCACAAGGGGGGAGAGAAGGAAGGGGCAGAAGTACTTCGTCAGTCGGGTCAGGAGAGGACTTTTCATAAAGATTTGCTATGAACAATAATGAGTTGGAATGTTAGTTGGGTAGTGCTTGGAAGAGGAGAGTAATTAAGGACTTGTTTAAAAAGGAAAAGCTAAATATAGTGATGTTGTAGGTAATGCAAGTGGCAGAAATGGATAGAACATGGGTGAGAAGTGTGTGGAGGTCTAGAGGTATAGTTTGGTCTTTTGTACCCTTGTAGGAGAACTTGGGAGGTTTAGTTACAATATGGAGGAATGGGGTGGTGGAATCTTTGGAAGAATTACTAGATCGATTGTCAATCTATTTGAAATTCAAAAATGTGAGAGATGGTTTTACATGTGTACTGTTGAATGTCTATGGTCCCAACAAATATAAAGAGAGCAGTGAAATGTGGGAGGAACCTTTAATATTAGGGGATTGTTGGATGGCCTGTGGTGTTTAGGTGGAGACTTTAATGTGATTAGATACACAAACAAGACAAACAATCCCAGCCAGATGGCCTCTACAAGTATGAGGAAGTTTAAAGAGTTTATTGATGGTTGTGAGTTAAAAGAGATTCCTCTCTAGCAAATCTTGTTCACTTGGTCCAATTTACAAATATCCTCTATTTTCTCAAAGTTGTATAGCTTCATTTTTAATATTGAGTGGGAATAACATTTGATAGGATTGATGGCAATGGCTTTGCCATGAGTCACCTTTGATCATTGCCCGGTTAGATTGTAACTAAGGATTTCTTGAGTGGTCCCACCCCTTTTAGGTTTGAAAATATGTGGCTTGTACACCCAAATGAAGAAGTGAGGGGAGTACACTGGAAAGAAGTAAGGCTCCATACGAAGATACAAAGGCTTAAAAGAAAATTCAAAGAGTGGAACAGAGAACGATTTGGAAGAATTGAGGAGAGTAAACTAAGTATGACTTCCCAAATTGAGCAATTGGATGATAAGGAAGGTCAGGGACTCTTAAGTGAGGACAGGCATTTGATATGGTCCTTTAAGGAGTCAAAAAATATTCTTGGGGAAAAAATCTATTGGAAGCAAAAATCAAGACACTAATGGATTAAGGAGGGGGATGGTAATACTAAGTTCTTCCATGCAATAGCTAATGGTTAGAGAAGAAAGAACTTTGTGGATAAATTGGAAGTGAATGGAAGTGTTGAATGATCAAAAGGAGATTGCCAATTGTTTGTGGATCATTACAAATTAGTTTATGGAAGGCAGGATGCTATTGGGGTCAGCGTGGAAGGATAGGATTGGCCAAGGCTGGATTTTTAGATGGCACAAGAGTTGGAGAGGGACTTTGAATTGGAAGAAATTAGGGGGGGGGGCTGTTTTTTCAATGGAAAAATATAAATCTCCAAGACCAGATGGTTTCACTATGGCTTTTTATCAAGACTGTTGGGAGATTATTAGATCTTATCTTTGGGCAGTCTTTGAAGAGTTCGCTAAGGAACATTTTATTAGTCCTAGGATTAATAAGCCAGTCTAAGTTTGATACCCAAGAAGGGAGATCCATTCAGCCAAAAGGTTTCAGACCTATCAGCTTGGTGACTAGTATTTACAAAATAGTAGTCAAAGTGTTGTCACCAAGACCAAGAACAACCTTACCCAAATTGGCAAGCCAGTCCTAAGGGGCACTTATTCAAGGTAGACAGATCATTGATCAAATCTTAATTGCTATTGAGTGTGTATAGGATTTTACGAGAATGGGAGAGAAAGGCTTTGTATGTATGGTGGACTTGGAGACAAGGTTTAAAATTTTGATGTTGGTCAACCAAAAATAGGAAACATATCGGAGATGTCAGAAAGATCGAATGGAAATACTGTAAAAATTATAGACATAGTGGAACATTATAAAATATGCAAAATATAAAATGATATTTTATGAAAAGATAAAAGAAGCATAGGCACACTTTTAAATTATTATCTTGTTCCAAATCATTAAACAAAGCTAATAAACTAAGGGTCAAGATTTGACAATAATTGGACTCAACTATGATACTGAAAAATCATATAATGTAGTAATCAATAGAGAGTGGTATTCATCAAAATTCATAAGGAATTTTAATTGATCAAAGCTCTTCCAATATCACGTCTTTATGGCGTTATCAATTTACCCATGTCAAGTAATATTTTGAGAAATCCCTAGGATCCTTTCTTTTGGAGAATGGAGTGGTTCACCAAATTAGTTGTGTACTAATACTTAATAAAATAGGACTTCTCATGCATTTTGGAATTCAAGACACTATTTAGTTTGTTTTATCCTAATCATAGTTGTCAAGGCAATGCCTAGGCGATGAAGCGTCCATGGAAGATGTAGAGTTAGTTAGCATGTTATTTATATTGCTGTTAGCATATTATTTATGTTGCTGTTAGAATGTTAGTAGTGTTAGTAGGTTAGTTATTTCAGTTATTTTCAGCTACTGTTTATTTGTGTTAACAGTAGGGGAAATATTGTAAGTTTACAGAAGAAAAACAGTCCCAAATAAAGAAATAAAAATCTGATTAGAAGATGAAACAAAAAGAAGACAGCAAGAAGAGAAGAAGAGGAAGAGAGCGATGGAAGAGAAAGGGATGAAAGAGAAGAGTTGTTCGTACTCTCACTCCTTTCCCTAATCCTTTTAATTAAAAAGATTAATCACTAATTAACAGAAATTACAAGTAAGTCCTGAGTGGGGCAGCTAGCTAATTAAAACATAAGAAACTAATGCTAACAGTCCCATTAATAGAACATAACATAAACAACACAACTGTGGGCTATGGGCCATTCGGCCCCTCTTCTCTACACTCCCCCTCAAGTTGAGCATAGATGTCAATCATGCCCAGCTTGCTTGTATCATGTT